TGTAGAAGAAGAGCCTGCACTCAAAAAATGTTTTCAGGAAACATATGGCAGAGGCATTTGCTACAATTAATAAAGCAAATGCAAATGTTTGATGACATGGATCAAAATTATGAGCTTATGCCAAAGTTGATAGAATGATCCAAGATTCACTTGTTTGTTACAGAGAAATTTATAATGAAAAAGAAAAAAAGAAAACTGTGCAGCTCCAAATTGGACACCTATTTCAAGAAGTCCCCCAGTACTGGCCTTCACGCCCCCACCAGTGCTGCTCTTCACTCCCCCTCAAGATGATCCAATACCTTCAACCAGCAAGTTGTCACAGTACATAAATCCTGTCTGAAGGAAGCGACATTGATGACCCACCAGCCCTGTCCCTCTTCTGCTTTCTTCCACTAATATAGTCTCCATGTATCCTGTAAATAGAAAAATTATGGGGGCCCGCAGTATTCAGCTGACTACATTTAAGGTAAGTGCTCAGTCATTAATTGCATCCATTCCTCATTATTTATTACTTTACTGTACTGTATCCATTCCCATTATTTTTACGTTTAGTGCAATTGCATTAGATATTTTTAAAAATGAAAAAAAAATTATTTTTTTTTTTGAAAAATTTTTTTTATCGTTTTTTATTTTTTTTATCTATATCGACTTACGACCATATCGGGACTTACGACCTGGATTTGGGTCCCTAACCCCGCCGAAGTCAAGTTTAGGTGTATATATATATATATATATATATATATATATATATATATATATATATATATATATATATATATATATATATATATATATATATATATATATATATATATATATATATATATATATATATATATATATATATATATATATATATATATATATATATATATATATATATATATATATATATATATACACATACAATCAACACCTCAACCCGCCAGGATTCGAACCCACCACCAGGATACTAAAAGCAGTCCTAGACTTTGTTATATTTCACACAAAGCCTGTTCAACAAGCTTATGGCACCGTGAACCTCTAATGGGGACTACCCTTATCACGTAGGTGGTCAGAGTAACGCTTTACCAAATCCGGCTTCGAAACACGAGGATCCATATATATTTCATTAGCCCAGCCCAGCCCAACTTCTTGAAGTTGCTGATCACATTCTTGTCCAGTGGCTGTATGATTGATGTTGTGTTGCGAGGCAAAAACAACACTTTCACAAAGTTAAATTGATACTCCAAAGTTCTGGCAAGGTCAGGGTCATGACCAGGGGCATTATCCATGAGGAGAAAAGCCTTTAAAGGGAGTTTATTGGTGGTTAGATAACTCTTCACAGAAGGGCAAAACACCTCAACAGCCCATTCATTAAAGAGCTGTCTTGTCACCTATGCCTTATGGTTGGACTTCCAATTAAACTCCAAGCTTTCCTCTTACCACTTTCTGTTGCTTGAACACCCTGGGGTTCTCAGGATGGTAGACAAGCTTAGGCTTCAGTCGGAAATCCCCTGAAGCATTGGCACCAAGCAATAGAGTGAGACGGTCTTTCATGGGTTTATGCCCAGGTAAAGAGGCTTCATCTCTGGTGATGAATGTTCTTTGGGGCATCTTTATCCAGAACAGCCCAGTTTCGTCCACATTGAACACTTGCTGTGGAAGATAATTTTCTTCATCCATCAGTTCTTTAAACTCCATTAAAAACTTCGCTGCCCCTTCCTTATCAGCACAAGCAGCTTCACCATGCCTAACAACACTGAAAATGTCACTTCTTTTCTTAAATTTTTCAAACCAGCCTTTGCTGGCCCTAAAATCTTCAAATTCTATGCCTGAAGAACCAGGTTGATCTGTCTTTAAATGTTCGTAAATCTCCCTGGCTCTTTCACAAATAAATTCAGTAGAAACCGAATCACCTTTCATCTGTTTTTCCCTCATCCAGATGAGAAGTAACCTCTCTGTTTCTGCAATTAGGGTTCTACTTTTAAACACTCTGGTAGATTTGTCTCTCACTTTCACTTCTTTAAATTTTTCTTTCTGTGCAAGAATTGTCGACACAGTTGATGTCGACATGCCATATTCTTTGCATATCGCGTTTGTTCTAATGCCTTCTTCATGTATTTTTTTTATAATTTCCTGCTTAGTTTGGATTGAAATCACTTTTCTTGATCCCTTAGGCCCCATGCTGGATTCAAACAATCTCAGCACATGATATTTTAAGTTTAAACTGCGCTATATATTTTCAATATGTAAAATAAATTTCAAAATGACCAATAATTTGCTTGGAAACACTGAAGAAAAGCATTTAGTTGAAGAGAGTCTCAAGCAAGATATTACCTCCACTGAAAAGAGAAAGAGACGAACGCCTGTTTGGTGTGTTGACAGGCTGGATGGCGCGCATAAAACTAGTTTCCTTACCTTCAATTATGTTCAATAATTGTTAAAATGACTAAAAAATTTAATATAAAACTTTTAAATTTATTGAATAGTACAAACTTCTTGATATTAACTAAAATAATAAGGAATTTAAGCCCTAGAACCGATTACTGTATTGGCGGACCAATACGACAGCTAGTGTGCAAGCGAAAAAATGTTGAGGTCGGCTCGTAAGAAACTCTTTAATCGAGGGATTGCTCGTTAACCGAAGTTATGAATCTTATGGAAGGTAACTCGGTAACCGAAATCTCATTAACCGAGGCGCTCGTTAACCGAGGGACCACTGTATCACATGTTTATTTACTAATCTTTCTATTAAGATTAATTAATAACTGATTCTCAAAATTATGGCTGTCCATTTAGGAACTTTTAGGCCTAAATATAAGCCCAGCAGGACCTACTGAAAGAAAACACTCATACAGTGGGGTATGCTATAACGAACGGATCCTACTACGAATATTCCTATAACGAACGGTTTTACCTATAAAATTGAGAATTCTATAACGAACGCAACTCCTACAACGAACGCGGATGAATACGGGACTATTTCGCCTGGCGCATGAATATTGTTGTACCGCGACCCACAACAAGAGCTTCAGGCGCCATCATTTTCTCATTGTATAGCCAGTGCACCACTGTTATTGTTGAAATTTCATCTTTTAATGTGGAAATTCGCGTTATTTGTATAACTATTTTGTTGTACAAGTATACAATTGTAACAATGAATCGTCCAAAGCGAGTGAGAAAGCTAATAACCCTTGAAACTAAGAAAGAAATTATAAAGAAACGTGAGAATGGAAGAAGCATTGCGAAACTTAGTGATGAATATGGGATGGCTAAATCGACTATATGTACGATTTTGAAGAATAAAGGGGAGTTAAAAACAGTGCAAGTGGCTAAGGGAATCTTTAGACTTAGCAAAGCAAGGTGTAATGTGATTGAAGAGATGGAAAATTTACTCTTGGTGTGGATAAAGGAGAAAGAAATGGCAGGTGGTAACATTAGTGAAGCTATAATTTGTGAGAAGGCTAAACAATTGTTTGAGGACCTTAAAGCCAAGACTCCCAGTGGAAGTGATAGTGCTGTGCCAGTGTTTAGGGGTACCTGCATGCTGAATAACACTAAGGTAAGATAAAGTACCGTATTTTTTACATTTTCCACAGAATTTTTTCAGTGTTAAGTGGTTGTATTTGGGGGCCTGGAACGGATTAATCCTATAACGAACGAGGTTCTGGAACCAATTACGTTCGTTATAGCATACCCCACTGTACGTTCAGCCGCTCTTCTTCCTACAGTCCATCGCAGGGATGGTGAACGGGCTGAAAATATATCCAGCCAACACTACGATCTCTTTCTTCATTTTCCACACAAGTATCGTCGATGAGGACTTTTGGTCCACAAACATAATGTTGTCTCTGCTCACATTAGGTTAGGATACAGACCTATCTGGCATGTACCTGAGGTGTGGGATGACCCGCACTTCCCTTCCTGTAAACTCTGTAACTGTCCCAACGCTAACATCCTTCAACACTATTGCCTTGACTGTCCCACTGTCAGGGACCTCCTACCACAAGGAGAGTCACCAACTACTCTGTCACCGCCTATTTATTCATAATAATTTAGATCTAATTATTGTCCACTACCCACACTTTGGTGGGTGCTAACTCCCTTTGTCCTTAAATCATATCAATAATGTCACCATATCACAAGTCACAGCGTGTCCTGCAACTGCATCGTCTTGTCACCCTCTGGGGTGTAATAAATAAATACATTAATTAATAATAAGCCCAGCATGACTAAACAGATACTCACAAGCAGCAGATGCAGGTAGTGGGGTGTTAAGCTCACAGTTCACAGTCATATTTCCCGCCTCTGCTGACGGTCGTGTAATATTTCAATGTGATTCTGATCTTTTAAAATGTTTTTTTGCATAATATAGTATTAATGATACATAATTTGTCTTAGTATGCCTTATTGTGGATAAAAATAAGTACAGTATATATTAAATGCATCCTCCGAAAGCGTGAATTTGCTACCCAAGTTTATCAGTTAATTCATGTATAATACTTCTGATAAACTTCCTACGTGCTTGTGTTTGAAATAATGAATGTATGTATCTTTATATAATTTAGCTAAATATCTTTCTCGTCAGAAACGGTCATCCCAACGATTATGAATAAACTCATTTAGAAATACATCATTACTCAGGACAAAATTGGACAGGTTTGCAACAGCCAATCAGCTGTAACTCTTGAGGAGGGGGCGGGGCATCTTTTCTCAGCTGAGAAAAAACGCGCTATAATAAGTCTGTCTGCTATCAATCACAAAAGTCTTTATAGAATCTATATAATGACTTTCATGATTGATAGTAGCACAGTTTAACCTTACTGATGAATTCGCGGTCAAGATAACTTGTACATTAGGGTGGCGTCTAATTAGAAACTTGAGTGTCCAGGAGCATTATCCATCACCAGGATCACTTTGAAGTCAATGTTCTTCCTCCGGCAGTACTGTTGGGCGTCAGGAACAGAGTGCTTGTCAAACCAATTGGTACTAAAGATGTTGTAACCCAAGCTTTCTTATTAGACTTCCAATAAACATGGAGCTGCTGCATGATGGTAGGCTCTAGGACGGGCAGCACGGTTAACAATCGGGGGTTTCATCAAGAAATCACCACTTGCATTAGCTGTGAATATAACTGTAATCCTGTCCTTTGAAGTCTTTATGCCCCTTGCCTGTTTTTCATCCTTGGCAATGAAAGTGGTCCTAGGAGAACGCTTCCAGAAAATGCCAGTTTCTTCACAATTGAAGATCTGGTCTCGGCAATAAGCACCCTCTTTCACAAGAGCTTTAAAGACAGGTAGATATTTTTCTGCTGTTATGACATCAGCTGATGCACTCTCCCCATGGTAGTGGGCAAACTTGACTTCACAACGTTTCTTAAAGGCAGCCAACCAAACAACAGAAGCATTGAACGATGGTGGAGAGTTAACGTGTTTCTTCTGTACAACTGCAGCGTAATAAACACATGCCTGATGCCTTATCTGTGGCCCACACAGGCCGCCCTGCTCACGGTGTCTTCTTTCCACCCATTTGTGAAGGTAATGTTTTGTGATAACAAGCAGTAGGTTTCGTTGTGAATTATCGGAGAATGTCCTGTTACTAGAAAATCTTGAGAATACATTCACAGAATCAGTTAAGGCTTCCTTGTTCTTCTTAAGGGAACGTATAGTTGATTCGGGGCAGTTGAACCTATGCATGGGTTCACAGGTACGAGCACCACATTTGATCGTCTCGAGCATCTCTCGTTTTATTTCAAGGATGTATTTCCTCTTCTGACTCCCTTACAGTAGTCACGCTTGGCATGCAGCTTTCCTTGTTGACTACGGTGACCATCTTCACCATCTCTGTGGCCAACATCACGCACCTCACTCATTGTTAACGCTCTAGAATTTCGAGAAACTTAAGCACAATGGGTTATATAATCTAAGGTCAATGTGTCGCGCGCTATTGCTTACTCAAAATGCCGTAAACAAACAAAGATGGCAGATAACAAATGGACTGCGACAGTGGGTAGGTTGTTTGTTGCTTGTGAACCTATTTTCGTCTTTTTCCAGGTAAAATATTGAGGCTTTCCCTGTCACTGAGAATAAATCTTGTTTATTCTCATATGTTACATTATTTGATATATGGATGTTGACTTTACGAATAATTTTCAAGAAACCTGACCCATTCATATAGTGAGTCTAAACAATGCATCTCGCATGTAGCGGCCTAATTGCAGTTGAACAGGCACGGAGCTGTAAATAAACAGGATGGCCTGCTTTTTCCTGTATCATCTACTGTTTTGACCGTTTTATAAGAAATTATCATGTAGATAGTGTAACCGCCAATCAGACGGTTAGAGGGTGAATGATACTTCTCACGTCATACATGAACATTATAATTCGGTCAAACCTGTTGAATACAATTCATTTAGTATTTCAAGTAAGTCATACATTGGCACTCTTACATAAATGTTTAATCCAATATATATTTACAAAACAATCATGGCTATTTAATTGTCATGGGTTGCGTTGGGCCTCCCGCACAACCCATCCCAAATGTTTGTTTACGGTAGAGATAAGGTAACCGGCCAGCCATAACTGGGACATGTTTTCAATTAGTGGCATGTTAGCCAGCCGATAGGGGGGGTGCAGGCCAGTGAGACAGTGGTGTACTGTTCATCACTTCACGCCTCAAAAAAAAACAATTTAGCCAGTGGGCTTTAGACCTTGGGTTAGAGAAGACCTCCTGCTCAGCGGACTTAAGAACAGGGGCCATACAGTCCTACCAGTGCTACGAGTCTGTGTGTGCAAATCCCCGAGATTTTCGTTAAGTCCAGCGTCAAGTTAACACATCCTGTAAAGGAAGTGATCAATGGTGAGGGCCTGTTTGCTACAAGAGCACTCCAGGCCGGCCTAATAGATCTAAACGATTAATTCTCCAGGTTGACAAACTCTCCCTTATAACTTACTGTACTGTGGCGTGAATGCGAGTGACTGACCTATCCATGCAAATTATAAGTCCAGTGTATGGAATTGTGCCAAATAAACGTAAGTGCAATCATCTGCCCGTATCTGTGATCCCTCTATTATTATTATTATTATTACCAAGGGTAATGACTGATTGGTTTTGACAAAGTATAACCAATAACTTAGATGGATGTTGGAAGTTAGTGGAATTCATTAAATCATCATTTATCAAGCACATAACACATTGAATGCCGGAAGCAGAGCAAAATTCTACGTAGTGATACACCATAATCTCTTGGGTGATTAACCAGTGTGAAGGTATCCGAGTTCTACGGTAAGAAAGCCACTTTCCTGCATTTAAAACGTAACACTAATTAGTCTAATCTTAACACAAAAACAATGACACAGTCTACCTGTATACACAATAAGTACGAGTTAAACTTGCGTGTTGAAAGTCTAGAGAGAAGCCAGGGTAGGTGTTGACTCTAAGATATGGGTAGCTATACTGAAATGCCCATCCTATAGCCTGGACCCTTGGCTGGTCAGCTATGGCCGAGTCAGGTGATTATAATTATACATAAACAAACTCCCTTCACACCCTCCAACCTCCTTCTGGGCCTCTCATCTTCAACCATCTCAACACTCTACATTGTGAGTTACAGCCTAACATAACATTTGTTTATATGTCGTCATAATTATGTACCGCTTGAGGTAACAGATAGATAGAAAATACCATTGCAATACAGTAAATATATTTGCCAACTAGACACGATACTGACAGCTCTGTCCTCTTGTTCCACCTTAATACTGTACAACCCATGTTGTACTGCTTCCCTCCCTTATCATATTTATGTATATCAACTCCACTGTAAAGTATGTTCAGTATATACTGTACCTGTACTTATAAAAGAAAAAAAAAGTTAAATATAAATATCGAAGTGATAACCATGGTAACATTCTGATATGTTCTTATTACCACCATGTTACGTGTACTGTTCCAGATGATACTAAATGTTACATAATACTAACTTGAGATAAATGTACAGTATATATCAGGTGCCTTCAAGAGAGCTCAGGTTCTCAACTGGCGCAGCCATGTTAATATTAGGATTTTTATCGACACTGTATCTGTGTTCTTCTGGCTAAATAAACTGTTTCAATATCAACTGTGACAGCTCATATTAACTGGCATTGTCCTCTCTCCCTCCTTGAAGGAGAGAGGCACCTGCACCTCAAGAGTGACACTAAGGATTTCCACTGTCGACGAAGTGGCGAATCGTGGTGAGGGACAGGAAGGTGACGAGGCATATGGTGGTAGGTGTGCAGTCTTTGACAGTGAGGACTGTGTTCTGGGGCGAGGAACACTGTCACCACTTGTACCAGGCTGATTGCTGCTCCAGCACTAGGAGGTCTGGAGCAGGGACATTGGGGAAGTAGTCCCCAATCTCACGCTGCTTCATCTGGTCATCTGCTGTAGTTCATCTATAGCAACTGTTCTCATATCTCAAATGTTCTGCTAAAAAGAAAGGAGGTGGAGGATGTCGGTGTTGGCCGTAAAATACAGGAGGCTGTCCAGGTGTGTCCTCGTCGTCTCTCGAGACTGATGGTGGGAACTTCCCCACTTCTTTCTCTCTCTCGTCCTCTTCATCCTCCCGTCTTTCTTCGTAGGCCCTGATGACACCAGCTGCTATTTCCTCCTGGATCATGTCACCATAGCCAGGATCATCTGCACCCACTACCACCCCCCACATCCTCCATGGTCACAGTAGTGTCACCACTGTCACGGAAAAGGGTGTGGGTCTCTTCCAGTTTGAAGCCCTCGAAGTCTGCATCATCCTGTATTATCACTGCTTTAGCACCACCACCACCACCACCACCACCACCACCATTCAGGACCATCTCCCACATTCCTGAATGTAGTCAGTAGAATCTTGTCCCAGGCTGCCTTGAGGTTTAACAGTGCATCCTGGATGCTGTAGTCCTTGATGTTCTTGCAGTGCCCTAGTGTCTTCCTCCCCCTCTGGCACTGGTTCCACAACCAGAACACCATTTAAGAGGCGTTGCCTGTAGTGGTGTTTGCAGGCCAGAATGCTGCCCCGGTCCATGGGCTGTATGAGTGCGGTGGCGTTAGGCGGTAAAATCTTCACTCTGATTTGCCCATCAGTATTTTTAAGTCACCCTGAGGGTGGGCAGGTGCATTGTCAAGGATGAGCAAGGCCTTGACCTCTTGCCTGTTAACACATTTAACTAACCCACAGGGTACAGTACAGGCTCTTGATAGAATTTATCTGGTGTGTTTTCAGTAGAGCTCGTGTTAATGTTAGAATTGATATCCATACACAGCTACTCGACCTACGACCTACTCAACTTACGACCACCCGGACATACGACCGCCTCAGTCGTACCAAAATGTTTTCAAATTACGTATTTTCGAGTCCCAGCGTTAGTGATCGCGCTGTGTACTGACAAAATTTTCGTTTGTAATTCACTTTAAAATGGCTGGCAAGCTTAAAAGTGAGAGTTTTGTGGTGCTGAGAAGAAAAAAAAGACCCATTTTAGATTTTCTATGTATTATTTAAGTGTTTTCGACTTACGACCTGGGTTTGGGTCCCTAACCCCGTCGTAAGTCGAGGAGCAACTGTAGTTACTTTGTGATACTGTATTGGTTTTTCTGGCCAGGTAAACTGTTTCTATCAATAATTTTATCAGTAACTTCATATGATATACAATAAACTGAGGTTGACTGTAGACTGGAATTGGCTGAATGAAGAGAGAATTGTCAGAAAGTCTGTATCCAAATTGTTTACATCTTTTACTTTCCTCGGCAGGTGGATGTAACTATAACGCTGCAGGTGGCTATGAATGCTTCACTGGCAGATATATCAACACTCACCATCCTCCGTAAGAAGATCTGTCTTAGGGGTGAGTCCTTGCTTCAATTTAGGTCTTGCTTCTTTTCAATTATTGCCCATCTTTTACGGTCACATGGCTAACTATATAGTAGAAGTACTGTACAGCAGTTTAAATTTTATCCCATAAGAAAAGTCACTTGCATGATTGTCACTTCAAAGTACTTGACTGTGCTAAAATAGGGTAAAAATACTCCTACTGCCTTGTTAAAGTACACTGTCTATAATGTACACTTGCCACAAAAAGTTCTCAACAGGCACAAAGGGTCATACAATATGACAAAATGAACAAGAAATCTGAACATTGCTTTCTGAGGAAGTTTTAGTGTGAATTAAATTACTTTTTTTCACCTTTAAATGTTAATAAAATGAGCAACATATATTATGAAATATTGAAAATCACTTCTCAACCTAGCATGCCAACCATTGCGAGATGACACGAGCCACAGTGCTCGTTCTGAAATCTACCGTGACCGGCTGTTTGAGAACTCGTTGTGGGGAGTGTACAATATACTGTACAGTCTCCATATTGAACAAGTCGCCATCTTAACCAGATCAGCTGATATGTGGCCCAGTTCACAATGGTTTAAAACAGTCTTTATATATCTAATAATGTTTATATTTATTTTGTTCAACCTCACAGTTAATCTATTAACAATGTGTGTTTTAACTTACTGTAGTTCCTCAGTAGTAGCTGTTGTTTGTCTTGGTTATTTAGTAATGTTAACCAATAAACAGCGGCCATAATCATTGTATGGATGGTGGCCATTATAAGGTAGCTGTAGGGATGGTGGCCATCACCATTATAAGGTAGCTGTAGGGATGGTGGCCATCACCATTATAAGGTAGCTGTAGGGATGGTGGCCATCACCATTATAAGGTAGCTGTAGGGATGGTGACCATCACCATTATAAGGTAGCTGTAGGGATGGTGGCCATCACCATTATAAGGTAGCTGTAGGGATGGTGGCCATCACCATTATAAGGTAGCTGTAGGGATGGTGGCCATCACCATTATAAGGTAGCTGTAGGGATGGTGACCATCACCATTATAAGGTAGCTGTAGGGATGGTGGCCATCACCATTATAAGGTAGCTGTAGGGATGGTGGCCATCACCATTATAAGGTAGCTGTAGGGATGGTGGCCATCACCATTATAAGGTAGCTGTAGGGATGGTGGCCATCACCATTATAAGGTAGCTGTAGGGATGGTGGACCATCACCATTATAAGGTAGCTGTAGGGATGGTGGCCATCACCATTATAAGGTAGCTGTATCACCATTATAAGGTAGCTGTAGGGATGGTGGCCATCACCATTATAAGGTAGCTGTAGGGATGGTGGCCATCACCATTATAAGGTAGCTGTAGGGATGGTGGTCATCATCATTATAAGGTAGCTGTATGGATGGTGGCCATCACCATTATAAGGCAGCTGTAGGGATGGTGGCCATCACCATTATAAGGTAGCTGTAGGGATGGTGGCCATCACCATTGTATGTTAGTCTTCTAGGTATCTGAACTTGTCCCATTTGGTCCTGTTTGATAGGAATTAAAAGTGTTTGATCAATCAAAATGTAACCAAAGTCTGTTTGTTTGTCTTACCAGACACAAGTGTGCCTGGTGGAAGGTGTTGGCAATGATAAACAGTAATGTTGATACATATCACATCATATAAAATACAATAGCACAGAAATAGCTCTTTCCACACTCAAACCATCATCGAGGTGACGCCACAGCTCAGCCAGGCAGTCAACCAACTGACTCCAAGATATGTGCGGATGCTGCGTGCGTGTGCGCTTGTGTGGGGGTGCGCGTGTGTGTGGGGGTGCGCGCGTGTGGGGGTGTGCTCGCGTGTGGGGGTGAGCGAGTTCTTGAGTGCAAGGATGTGTTTGTGTCTTGATGTCAAATTTTTGTATAGTATTGTCCCACCGTGAAAGATGTGACACAAGTTTGTCTTTCTTGTACCAGTTGTTCCTCTCAAGAAGATTACTGCAAGTCAAAATATATGAATAAATTATCTCCAGTTCTTCCCTTCACCATAGTGTTGGCTGTTGTAGAGTTAACATAAGAACATAAGAACATAAGAATGGAGGAAACTGCAGCGGGCCTATTGGCCCATACTGGGCAGTCCCGTTTACACCCAACCCATATTGCTCATATAAGCATCCAACCTATGTTTGAAGCTATTCAGCGTATTCGAGTTAATGATGATATTTGGTAACTTGTTCCATTCATCCACTACTCTGTTTCCAAACCAGTCTTTACCTATTTCACGCCTAAATCTAAATTTGTCTAACTTAAAACCATTGTTACGAGTTCGCTCCTGGATGGATAGTTTGAGTACCTTTGTAATGTCCCCTTTGTTTAGCCCTGCCTTCCACTTATACACCTCTATCAGGTCGCCCCTCGCTCTACGTCTCTTGAGGGAGTGCAAATTAAGGTGCTTTAACCTGTCTCTATACTCAAGGTTCCTAATGCCCGGGATTAGTCTTGTCATTCTCCTCTGAATTCTTTCCAATGATTCTATATCCATTCTGTAATACGGTGACCAGAACTAAACTGCGTAATCCAGGTGTGGTCTCACAAGAGCAAGATACAGTTTTAGGATGACCTCGCTAGTCTTGTAACTAACACTCCTTTGTATGAACCCAAGTACTTTATTAGCCTTGTTACGAGCAAAAACACATTGTTTACTTGGCTTAAGGTTCCTACTTATCATTACTCCTAAATCTCTCTCGCAGTCGGATTTCTCCTTTATTGATTCCTTTCACCCACTTAAATACTGTGCTCTTATCTGAGTGTGTTGCTTCATGTAGAGTTGTGTGAGTCACTTTCAGCATAAAACTTGAACAGCTTTTCACGTTTTGTTTTCATATTTGGTCATGTTACCAACACACTTACTTGTTGTATATTGGTAAGCCAAACATACTTCCTCTTCACACCACAGTTGTTGGATGCCATTTTAAGAGTAGAATAAGAGCAAAAATAACATAAATAAGTGAGACAAGTACAGAACAATTGCCTCAAGTTGAGACTAATAGAGAGTGGCAGGAGGTTAATGGGAGCACATGGCAGCAGTCAGCAGCAAATATCACACTATTTTATAATGAATTCTGATCATACAGTTACAGGGGGCCTATCAAAAATCCGGCAACCTCGGGACCTGAGGAGTGCCGGATTTTCGAAAATGCCGGAAAACTGATGGTTATATTTGCTGTATGTATAAGTTTAACAGAAAATGACTACCTGTACAGTCCTTTAAACAAAGAAAATTAAACACTTAAGTTAGGATAATATAATTGACATTGCTGGATTCCTTGTAAGACCAGGAATATTTTGAATATAAATGTCATATATTTTGCACAAAAGATAACATATTTATTCAGAGTAAACATTATATCTAAAATTTGTATGTCTAATGCAAAATCTATGATGTTTATATTCAAAATGATCATCAAATTGTAAGAATTCCAGCAATGTAAATTATATTCTGGCCGGGTAATTTGTATGAATTTTATGAGCTAAAACAAATATCTTCAGTTAATGAAAAAAAAAATTTCTTCACACCGTGCCAGATGGTCAGACGGTCCCTCCCTACCAGATAAATGTGTGGGAAAACCAGACTATTTACCTTTTTAGTAATAAATAATACCTCAGACTGAAGTTAGGATAATATAATTGACATTGCTGGATTCCTTGTAAGACCAAGAATATTTTGAATATAAATTTCATATATTTTGCACAAAAGATAACATATTTACTCACAGTTAACATTATATCTGAAATTTGTATGTCTAATGCAAAATCTATGATGTTTATATTCAAAATGATCATCAAATTGTAAGAATTCCATCAATGTAAATTGTATTCTGGCCGGGTAATTTGTATGAATTTTATGAGCTAAAACATATATCTTCATTAAATAAACAAAGAAATATTTGAAAATGCGCTCTGAAATCCATGCCGGAAAACTGAAGGTTCCGGTTTATCGGTTGCCGGATTTTTGATAGGCCACCTGTATTAGAATTTGATATGTTTTCTCATTTTGTATTTTTAGACCTGAGATGATGTACCATACTGTATAGGTAAAACTCTTGTGTTGAGCAGACAGTGAGGTGGAAGCAGATGGAGTGTCGGTGGAGATGGTGGAGGCGCGTCACTCCACCACCGTGGTGTATATTACTCTCGCCTGTCTGGCAGTCTTCCTGGTGGTTGTGGTCGTCCTCGCCATCGTCAATCAAATCAACAATAATAAGAACGCTCCTGGCAGGTCAGTGTGTTGTATTATATTTATAATTTTTTGTGACTTCCCATATCTATGACTGTACTTATTTACCATATGGTATTTATATGTGTATGGTGTGTACAGTCATCATGTCTGTTGCAATGGTCTGTGTCACATCTGATACTGCACAGTGTATGAAAACACTTTACACACTAATGAGAGAATCACATGTGGTAATAGTATCATTGATGTAGTTTTTACCTCACAGACAATATTTTAATTTGCTACAGCTAACGCGTATACTAGGGTGTGACAGTTGCCCCAACTTTGTTCTACAATGCTGTTCAAAATTTTGGTGTTGCATATTGACATAAAAAATACCCACGTGCAATTTTTTGAAGTTTCATGCATATTTGAGTGAGCACCAGCAATTTGAAAAATAGCGATTTTGCTTATACAGTCGACTCTCGTTAATTCGGACTAATAGGGGGAAAGGGTGTCCGTTTTAGCCGATTGTCCGAATTAACCGATTTAGGGGTTAATATTGCATAATATTCCATTATACAGCTATGTGTATGTTTATTTGAGTGCCCCTTCATAGGAGTCCGTTTTCTCTCACTTCAGGACGCCTGAGTCGTCCGTTTTCTCTTAATCTTAGAGTGCACCAGAGACTTCATTAATCCTTAGAAGTGAGACAGAATTTGAAATTGCAACCCCAATTGCAACTGGGACAATCCCAGAACCAGAAATTTGATACGGACAGTTCAGATTTCGTCCGAATTATCCGAAATCCGGATTAAAGGGGTCCGAATTAACGAGGGTCGACTGTACAGTCATGCGCCGGTTGACGTCCTAGATACGTTCTTGGAAACGTGACGTTAACCGAAATGGACGTTGTCCAATCATCACATAAACTTTGTATTTATACTTACGTGTATGTGGAATACTATATACGTACATATACACTTTTACTCTTAAATCACTACTGTAATGTGATACAGGTGATTAATTTTTATTTCTTGTGCAAAATACATGATGTTTTTATTAAAATTATTCACTGTTATACAAGGATTCCAGCAACGCTGGGCAGATGGGGGAGGGGAGGTAGTACGTTTGACAGTTGGCACCGGCCCAGGTCTAACGCATGTATATTTATCAGTTCTTAAGTGACTAAGCTTCTCTCTTATAAAAAGCCAGTGAAATGACCTGGGTGAATATAATTAACATTGCTGGGATTCTTGTAACATACTGATTAATTTGAATATAAACATGCTATAATTTGCACTAGACAAAACAATTTTAGTACCATAATCAAATTAGTACATGTGCACTCCAGCTTTGCACTAAGGTCATTTATTTCTATTACGTTTCTTTTAGTATGGTGTGTGCATGTAAATGGATGAAAATAAATGAAGAAATCTATGTAAATCTACCCAAAAATACAGTTGAAAAACTTTTTTATAAAATGTACTACAGTACTGTACACTAATGTACAACAATTTTTATCTCTTGAGCAAAATATATGACGTTTATATTCAAATTATTGGCTGTCTTGCAAGGATTCCAGCAATGCAAATTATAATCTCCTAACTTTAGTCTGAGATATTATATAAGATAAAAACTGTAAGCCTAAAAGCCTGGCTGGGGGGGGGGGGACGTAGCCAGCCACGCCACCCAGCGAGGGGTTGGGGGGGGGGTTGAGGTGATAAGTTTGAGCCGAAGGTCTCTGTGTGTTTATTTGACAGTCCTACTAAGCTTCTCTCATTTTAAAATGCCAGTGATATGACCTGGGAGAATATAATTAACATAGCTGGGATTCTTGCAAGATACTGATTTATTTGAATATAAACATGATGTAATTCGCACTAGACATAACAATTTTAGTACAGTGACCCCTCGTTTAACGAACGCCTCGGTTAACGAAATTTCGGTTCACGAACTGCCTTCCATAAGGATCTTCAATTCGGTTAACGAACAAAAATTCGGTTAACGAATTTCTTACGAACCGACCTCAACATGTTTTCGCTTGCACTGGCTGGGCAACCAGCTTTAGTATCAGTCCGCCAATACATTAATCGGTTCTAGGGCTTAAATTCCTAACTATTTTAGTAAATATCAAGAAGTTTATACTATTCAATAATTTTAAAAGTTTAATATTCAATTTTTTAGTCATTTTAACAATTATTGAACATAATTGAATGTAAAGTGACTAGTTTAAAGCGCAGCATCCAGCCTCTTAACACAGCAAACAGGCGTTAGTCTCTCTCTGTTTTCACTGGAGGTAACATCTTGCTTGAGACTCTCTTCAACTAAACGCTTTTTTTTTCTGTTTCCAAGCAAATTATTGGTCATTTTGAAATATATTTTACATATTGACAATATATAATGCAGTACAGTGTTGATTTAAAGAAAATAATCTTGAAATACACCAAGAGAACTAAAATTTTATGGGTGAAATGGTGCCATGGGGTGACTTCTCTTCCACCCCAATGCCTTCTCTTCTTCCTTCTCCTCCACCCCCATTGTAATTCCATCATCATCATCATCATCATCATCATCCAGGAGCCTTCTACATACACACCTCAAAGTAAGTGAACTTTTCTACCATTTTTGTTGAATTTAGGAAATTTTCGGTGAGCTGGAACCAATTACCCAAAAACCCATTGAAACAATGGTTTCGGTTAACGAACTTTTCGGTTAACGAACGACCTTCTGGAACGGATTGAGTTCGTTAACAGAGGGGTCACTGTACCGTAATCAAATTAGTACATGTGCACTCCAGCTTTGCACTAAGGTCATTTATTTCTATTACGTTTCTTTTAGTATGGTGTGTGCATGTAAATGAATGAAAATAAATGAAGAAATTTATGTAAATCTACCCAAAAATACAGTTGAAAAACTTTTTAGAAAATGTACAGGTTGTACCTCTCTAGTCCGGCATTCTGTGGTCTGGAAATTCCCGTGGTCCGGAACGATTTTCGTTTGTCCAATAGGTAGATAAGCAGCTTTTTTTCTTTTTTTTTTACTTATCTGAATTATTATTATTATTATTACTGGAGTATTGCATTTTTGCCCCTCAGGCCCCAATGTGGGTCAGTGACCTGTGCCCGGGTGGGCTAATCCCCGTAAAAAAAAAACAACAAAGCCGCGAGAAATTAAGGTTTGTTTACATCTGGCAGTTCTGCTTTCTCTCTGTTTGTCTATACCAGGGGTGGCCAACCTTTTACATACCATGCGTCAATTTGTTCACACACTAGATCAGATGCGCCATACAACTCTTGTACCCCCGTCTACTTCTTGTAAAAATATGTTTATTGACATAATTAGCATTTTTACATGATAAAATTATTAAATATAAAAACAATATCTGATAAAGCAGATAAACATTACTTACCTTTCATGAGACTTTTGAGTCTGTTTTGATTTCGTCAGTCTTTCAATGTTTGGAGTTAAATTTGTTACTGAGAGCAGCAGAGAATTCTTCAAATTTGAATCAGTCAGTCGCGACCTCGTTTTGCTTTTAATCAATTTCATGGATGAAAATGCTTGTTCACATCTATTTGTCGTTCCGAAACGACATATATAACTCTGGGCAAATTTTCTTAGTTCTGGGAAATTTTCACAGGGTAATGATCGCCAGAAATTAATCATGTCAGAAGCATTTGGGACTGAGGAAAGCTCATCAAATTTCATTTTCAATAATGAATTTGTTTTCAAGTCAATAAGTTCCATTTGTATGTCACTAGGCATCTTCATTATTTTTTGTTCACTAAGTGAAAATGGGTTTATAAATGCGAGTATGCAGTCTTCTTCTTTAGCAAAATCACGAAAACGACTTTCAAATGACTCTTGCAATAACTTGATTTTTTCAGTATATTTTGTCAAATTGCCATTATCAGCAGCACATTCACTCTGCTCTTTTAAGTGCAGAAACTGGCTCAAATCCTCATTTCTAACTGAGAGATGAACAGTTTTAACTTCATCTTGAATACATTGATGTCATTTACTAAGCTAGGAAACAATTTGTTCTTGCCCTGCAGTTTCAAATTTAGATCATTGAGATGTCTGGTAACATCAACTCAAAATGCCAAATCAAATAGCCAGTTTTTATCACATAAAAGGGCTCTTTCCACAGGTAGCTCATTTTTCTCTTCTAGAAAATTATGAACAGTATTTTTCAGTTTCCACAACCTACTCAGAACCTGTCCTCTAGAAAGCCAGCGCACCTCACAATGAAGGACAAGGTCGCCATATTCCAAATCTAACATTTCACAATATTTTCTGAATTCTCGTCTGTTTAATGCTCCTGCTCTAATTTTATTCACACATTTCACAACCGGTAACGTAACATGCTGCAAATTTAAAGTTTTTCCACACAGTGACTCTTGGTGTATAATGCAGTGATATTTTAGTAGAGGACGATTTAAAAAGTTTTCAAGCAAAGTTGTAGTCCCGGCGACTTTACCTATCATTGACGGCGCTCCGTCAGTACACACAGTGATGAGTTTACTAGAATCTAATAGTAGATTTTCTAGGCATGATTTTACTTTGTCAAATATGTCTGATCCTCTTGTTTTTCCATGAGGCGACTCAAGACTGACAAGTTCTTCAAAGACACTAAAATGATCATCAATTCCTCTTATAAAAATGCTTAACTGGGCTACATCACATATGTCAGTTGATTCGTCTAAAGCTAAAGAAAAGAAAGTACAAGAATGGACAAGGTCTTTCAGTTGCTGCGATACATCATGAGAGAGTTCCTCTGTACGTCTCGTAACTGTCTGCTTTGATAGAGCAATTTCGTCTGCTTTCCTTTCAATACTTTTATCACCAAGACGTCTTGCAAATATTTGAAGACAAGGCTTAACAATTTCTTCTCCATCAGAGAAAGACTTCCTTTTTTCCGCCAACGCTAAAGCAATTTCATAGGACGCTTCTGTCATCCACAAACTTTCACAACTTTTTTAACAAATACATTTTTTCTTCTTCTGAATTCTTCCTTTTTCTTAGTCACATATTCTTTCCGTAACTCAGACCCAAGCACG